TGTTCCTGGTCGTCAGAGAAGCACTGCAGTATTTCTATCAGATGATCTCTCCCTCCTCGTCTGTGGCCCTTATGTTTATGAAAATGATACTCCACAGGAATGCTTTGTGCATGCCAAGATGTCACTGTCTTTCCTCATCACTTGCATCTACGTGCATGTTCGAATCAGTTTATCTGAGAATGCATATAGAGGTGTGTATGTGGGGGAGCCTTGTTTATAATTACTTGACATTCATTTGAGGTCAAAATGTGGGCTTTCCACAACTATTCTGTAAAATGTGTTTGCTTTTTCTTTTTTCTTGATGTGCAACAGAGGTGCCGGTCATGTGACAGTCCACTTCAAACCATTCTTACGCCAACTCTGTCCCAAAGGGATCATGCAAGGAACCAAATGACTCTTGTCCCCCACTAACAACCCCCTCCCCCACTACCACCATGGCATCAGCTCAGTTTATCATTACAAGTACCCACCACACATTCCTGCTGGGGTTTTTTTTCTTTCTCGCACCCACACAAAGAAACAAATACCATGAAGATTCATAAACCAGCCCATGCCATATGCTTAGAAATTATTTGAGACTGCAGCCAAGAGTATTGTTGTATTCAAAATATTCATAATTTATTCTAAGGGAGCCTCTATATTCCCATCACCTTTTATTAGCTTGATAAATCACCTCTGTTGTCAGTCAAGGCAGGGAGAATAATTGGATGTGGTTGTCGCCCTGTGTGATGGATTATCAGTCATTGGGGATTAAATTAACAGATAGTGCACAGACATAATGGTTTTTGTTTTGCATTTTAAATTGCCTGGGAGCAAGGTTTAAACCCAAATGTTTTTTATTGCTGGTCTTTTTGGACTTCGATCTCCCTCCATTGAGTCCTGCCTCAATTGCTCATAGAGTTGCAGCCCTTTTGATATTAAACTCTAAACGTTTTCTACCAGGGAATGGGAGAGGACATTGTTTAGGAATGTAGCTACAAGATTTGACATGGGATATGGTAATTAAATGTAAAAAAAAAACGCAAAGATCAAAACTAAACTTTAGATACATTTTTTATCTCAAGATTTTGTATAGCTTTCACCTGCACATAGCAGTTTATATCAATTCTGACATCCCTAAAAAAAGATATAACATATTAAGACATATATATCATAAGAAAAAAGAGGTCAGATCATGTTATGTGAGAGCAGTGCTTAAACATCCAGTTTCTCTATCCCATTATCCTTGTATTGCCTCGTTGAGGAGACACCGCAGAGAAACACAGAACAAACAGCTATGTGCACACGCACTCATACCTAAGGATAACTTAGAGATCAGTTGAGCGTCAAGGGATTTTTTTATACTGGTGAGGAAGCTGGAGTACCCGGAGAGAAGTCATTCATGCACTAGAAGAACATGTACATTTCTTGCTGAAAGACTCCTGATTAGGACCTTCTTATTGCAAGGCAGCAGTGCAACCAACTGCCCTACTGTACAGCCCATTTTAAAACACAATTCTGATGTGACTTTAAACATTAACATGTTCAAATCTGTCCTTAACATCGTATATTTGTGTTGGTAAAACAGTGTATATTCCCGGGGAAATCTAGACTCTTGGTTTGGGCTGAGATTTCCAGAAGGCTGCCAAAGTATTCAAAACCAACTGTGATCCGAAACAGAGAAAGGTTAAAAACTTAAGGCAATATAAAGCAACTATCCTGATATCTGGCCAGATTAAGGCTCTATATTCCCCCCTTTTTTTGTTTTTCAGAGTTTAAATATATCATTCAGCTTCTAGAAAATAGGGCCTCCTTTTAAACAGCTTTATGACTCATTGTGCCTCCCCTCGCTTTGCTTTAACCTCCAAACTGCTACTACTTATAATATGTAAGTACTCTTAAATTTGTACTGGCATCCACACAACTGGAATTTTGAACAGGTTTGTTGCTGTCAACTTTAACTCATGGTGCTTGAAAGTGGCACTCTGTGCGAAGTGATATTTCTGACCAGATGGTTGCAGATGAAGTAGGTTTGCATAATATTAGGAAGATATGATGTAACTGTAGTGTGATATCACCAGTAGTCATTAACTCCATTCAATTCCATTCAACACAAAGTTTCTTGCCTCTTTAATTTTTTTTACCATTATATTATATCCCTACTGCTGTCTCTTACCTTAAGAATCTTAAAACCAAATACATGCATCAAGTTTAAAAATTAAGGTCTTTTAAACCAAGTATTCTAACTAATCACTGATTTTGCCATAGGCTGTAATTTATACTCTGCTTTTCTAGGGTCAAGCTAACAAAATCAACAGATTCCAGGCAGAAATCATTATTTTTGTGCAACTATAGTATCATAAAATAAATCAAATATCTACAAATATGCTAAGTTATTTTAATGAAATTTAATGGCTTTAAGTAGGTTTATATGATGGAACAACCAAACTTTCCTGGATTTCTTTTTTCAAAAAATATAGGGAAGAAAAGATAAGCAAGAGTAAAGAGGAAGTTTACTAAACACTTTTTGCATGGAGATATATGCCTAGTATGTTTCCCTGCAGCATGAGCCATTTACCTCTTTACCCCTCTATTCTTCCACCCCTCCCATCGCTTCCCCTCTCCCCACGTCCGCATTATCATAATTGTGTCCAGAACATGAGGGGCCGGGGAAGTGATCATGTCATTTTATTTACACCCTGCTTGGCCCTTTTTACAAACGACATGCCACTGACTGCCAAGCGAACTCGGGCCCGACGACATCTTTTGATCAGGGCTGTCGGGGCCTATCAGCGGAGAATGGCAGGTAATGGATACCCAGTGACAAACCAAATCTCCGGGAGGACGGAGAGTGGGTCGCACCTGCCAGGTCTCCATTAGGCTGGCCTCACAGTAGGGCTGCCTGCTGACTGTGCCCCCGGGGTCCAAATCAGACCAGCGCCAGCCGCATGGTTGCCTTGAGATTGGCTGTTAGCACTGGAAATGAGAGTTATTTCAGCTATGACATTTTTGTTTAGACTGGATATGTGTATGGGGGGGTGGAGGGCAGGGCATGAAAGATTTAGTCACACAGTGTATTTTTGCTTGCGTGTCTGCGTGTGTGTGTCTGTTTAAGCTCAACTGTGTAGCTGATCAAGCCGTACCAAGGGTATTTTTTTCCTAGCATTTGTCTTAGTTTACAATATTGTCCAAACAGCCTCAGACCTATCCACAAGCCATCTACTGCTTTCAGATTATTTGTTTTTCCTCAACTTGAGCGATTTTGTGAGTGAAGCTGTCAGGAAATGAGGGAGTTGGGGACTCCAGGGTGAGTGGTGGCTGAGTTGGCATTAGATGCTAAGACTTGTCGCCACGGGAAACACAGGAATCCGTGCACTGTTTGTTTGTATGAGGTATGCCTATTTGCAGACATATGCACACACTTATCTCTCCTCATGAGAGCACTGGCCGTTGACATGCAAAATAACAAGCATATTGTTTTCTATCATCAAGTCAACAATACCTTTTTATGATATCCTTACAGAACTTTTAAAACTAAGTAAAGGTTTACATTTTTGCCCCTAACATCAAATCTTACCAGAAATGAAAAACAAAAATAATGGTGTAATTGCTTTTATCTAAAACTTGAATTATACAAGTAATCACAGAAAAAGGTTCTGCTAAAATAATGTATTGTTACAGTTTTAAGACTGTTATCCGTGAAATGTATACATTTATTTTGAGATGTAGATTTTAAGCAAAATATAGAAATATAACCACCATATGTTTGAGACATGAATATTACACAGAATATTTCACCTTTTTCTCCTGTCCTGCTCTTAGAGTAACACAAGTACGTAATGTGATAATGCATTAGACTGTTTGAACAGGTGCAGTAGGGAGGCTAAAAGACTTGCTATATATTTTTGACTCTTGATATAAGGCAGTGCTGCCCTAATAACAGTGAAAGACTTTACACTTTTATTTTCCACATAATAGCTCTACTAGATTTGTAAAACCAAAATAATATTTCCATAGATTGAAAAATTTTGTTTCTTTTTTGTAAGCAGTAGAACATCCAAAAGGTTTTTTGTCGTTCAGTGGAACAGGAGTAGGCAGCAGCAGGTGGAGGAGAGGCAGTGCTGCCTTACTCTATGTTTGAAGCAGCCATATAAATATCTGACCACCCTTTTCTTTGGTATCTTATTAAAACGACTTTATACATTATAAGCCATACAGTTGAACATTTATGTGTTTTTAATCCGATTACTCATTTAAACCATGCAGTAACCACCCTATAGCTATAATGAAGTCTTTTTTGAGACGTAAATTTGCTTTTATCCTTTTTCTAGATTTCAAGCTTTGTGTTATTTAAGGAACCTGTACTGAATTACTTCAGTCCACTTGACACCGTGGGATGTCTAGCTAACCTCTCCAAATTCGATCGACAACATTTTGACATCCCTTTCACTTCAACGTTTTCTAGAAAAATCCTTTTTGACTCTGTTCATGCGGGCGTCAGTCTGCATTTGTGTGTAATCAGAGAGAAGGCAGATGAAGAGGCGTCAGACATATTAACTGACAGATGGAGGTTGATCCAACTCATTTATTACCCCAGAGGAGAATGCCACAGTGAGATTGGGCTTCATTAATTTCAGATTTAGTTTTCATTTCAAGCTGTTGTGCCTTGAGATAAATAAAATGGTGCATTATGTTTTTGCCAAGATATTTCTTTTTTGTTTTCCTCCAATAGAAGGAGTGTAAAGAGGGGAGACATAAGTTCCATGTGGCTGGGGTAGTATATAAATACAGGCTCGCCTAGAGGAAAATAACACCTCAACGGTTGATGAGGTGAAATGGGATGACTGTAATTTCTCAGCTCAGCTTTAAAGGCTCCCACACAGATGGCTCATTTATCCCTGGGAGTCCTCGGGCACACATTGCAGGGAAACTTTTTCTCCAGTTATTCTAACATAGCATGTACTCTCCCTGCAATTTAACTCATCTCATCCCTTCTCTCTTTGTCTCCATTCCCCTTGCAGCTTATTCTCCGGAGGAGCTGGCAGAGCAGACTGTGGAGGATACTGAGGCAGGAGAACAGCCACCGGTACCGCAGGATGATGACCTTCCCATGAAAGAGGAATTTATGGAGCAAAGTGTAGGGACTGCTAAGGAGCAGGCATGTGACCAGGAATCAGCTGAGGCCACAGAGCTCTCAGGACAAGAGATGGACAGTGAGTCACATGCAAGTGAAGCCAGTGACCGCCTCTCAGACTTTGAAAGCCCACCGAGAAAAGCAGAATCCAACTTCACTCCAGCTTCTTTGAATCCTGATGCCAAAACACCTCCCATAGCCATGGACACATTAGAACAAATGAAAGCTATCTACTCAAGTTTTCTGACCAGCCCTTTATGGTCACCACTGAACTTGAATTCCCCACAACTTCAGGCACAGTCCTCAGCTGCTACAGAGAAGCCAGCACGAAGCAACAGCACTAGCAGCAGTAGTAGCTGCAGCAGCAGTAGCTTTGACTGGCATCAGTCTGCAGTAGCAAAGACCCTACAACAACACCCTCCTCAGAGCCGTCACCCTGCTCCATCTGAGCCAAGCTTATTTAGCACAGTACAGCTTCACAGGCAAAACCCAAAGCTGTTTGGCTCAATCTTTACTGGGGCTAGCAAATTCCGCTGTAAGGGCTGCAGTGCCGCTTATGACACTTTGGTGGAACTGACCGTTCACATGAATGATACAGGCCACTACCGGGATGACAACCAAGACAAAGGAGGCAGTGGTTCAAAGCGATGGTCCAAACCACGTAAGAGATCCCTGCTCGAGATGGAAGGAAAAGAGGATGCCCAGAAGGTTCTGAAATGTATGTATTGTGGCCATTCCTTTGAATCACTCCAGGATCTCAGTGTCCATATGATTAAGACCAAACACTACCAGAAAGTGCCTCTGAAGGAGCCAATGGCCCCAGTGGCAACCAAAATCATGTCCTCTAAAAAAAGGGGACTTGTGGGGTTAGACCTCACCTCTTCACGATCAAGAGAAGGAACCCCCAAATCAAAATCAGATTCAACTGAACCCTCACACAAACCTTCCTCCAACTCCTATTCTAATCCTAATAACCGATACAGCCACCAGAATGGTGCCAGTTACTCTTGGCAGTTTGAGTCTAATAAGCTCCAGATACTCAAGTGCATGGAATGTGGAAGCTCCTATAATACACTTCAAGAGCTGAGGACCCACATGATGGTGACCGGACACTACCTGAGGGTGTCCAACTCAGTGGGTAAGAGAATTAAAGCAGTTCCTGAGGCAACCTCCCCAAGTCCTGGGAGAGTCACCACACCTACTGATCAAAAAGTCCAGTCTGTACCACTTGCACCCTCCACCTTCTCTCCTCCACCTCCTCCAAACAACACAACTCCCTCCAGCTCTCCTCCTCTGAAAGAGATCAAGAAAGAAGAGGTTGAGGAGGAGTGCACCAAACAAGAGACTAGTGTAAATGAAAAGCAAGTCATGACCACTGTTGGTAAAGAGGAAGACACTGAGGGAGAGGAAAAATATGACATTTCAAAGTATCATTATCTTACAGAGGATGATCTGAAGGAGAGCCCAAAAGGGGGGATTGATATCCTTAAATCACTGGAAAACACTGTGACTTCAGCTATCAATAAGGCACAGAGTGGGAATCCAACCTGGGGAGGCTATCCCAGCATCCATGCAGCCTATCAATTCCCCAGTGCCCTCAAGCTCCAACAAGGAAACATGGAAAAGAATTCACAGATGAAGTTTTTGTTCAATGGAGGTGATGGGGTGTTGTCCTCTTATGTTAAAAACCAGCCCCTAATTTCTCCACCTATAAGTCATTCTTCTCCCTTTCCCACTAACAATTTTCAAGCAATGGAAGATTTAGTAAAAAAGGTGACAGAGAAAGTAGCAAAGGTGGAGCAAAGGGTAAAGCAGTTGTCGCCAAAGACGGAGAACCAGCTGTCCCCATGTAGCAGTGAAGCTGGAGAATCACACAAGGGAGGAGAGACTGACTCACCTCGGGAATGGAGGGAGGTTACTTCAGCCAATAGTGACAGGGGGAGCCATAGTGACAGGGCATCCCCAGCAACGGATCCCAAGAGAAACTCAGCCGTTAAATCTCCCCTCGCTTCCGCACTGAGATGCAGCACTACCATTATCACTGGTCACACTCCTCCCGAACAGCCCTTTGTCAACCCACTAAGTGCTCTTCAATCCGTAATGAACATTCATTTGGGGAAAGCAGCCAAACCCTCTTTGCCAAATCAAGATCCCCTTAGCCTGCTTTCCAGACTCAGCCAGAGCATGACTGAGAAGGCTGCAGTGGCTGCTTCCCCGTTGCACACCAAAAAACATGACAGTGTAGTTGATAACAGCATTTGCCAGGCCAGCGATGACCAGCCTATCGACCTCACTAAAAGTAAAAATGATAAAGGTGGTTCTGTGGGCTCAGGCCCAGTAACTCCCTCATCAACAGTCTCTTCTATCTCCCCTATCTCTCTTGTTACCCCTTCAAAGTTAACAGTGGTGTCTCCCTATATTTCCAGCAGTCCTCTGCATGAGAACGCATTGTCGGATATCTCAGACATGCTTAGAAACTTGACACAATCGCACCCTGTAGCAAAGCCTGCTTCACGGTCCCGTGCCACAGATAAAATGGAGGTTGTAGGGACTACACACGATGAGGATGACGTGTCTCTGCATGGCCACAAGCGAAAGGGCCGTCACTCCAACTGGAACCCTCAGCATCTCCTTCTGCTGCAGGCCCAGTTTGCCTCCAGCCTGAGACAGACTTCAGATGGGAAGTATAATATTAATGACCTCAGCCCACAAGAAAGAATGCATATATCTCGCTTTACCGGTCTCTCCATGACTACCATCAGTCACTGGTTGGCTAATGTCAAGTATCAGCTAAGGAGAACAGGCAGAACCAAGTTTCTTAAGAACCTTGACTCTGGCCAGCCTATATTCTTTTGCAGTGACTGTGCCTCTCAGATCCGAACCCCAACAGCATATGTTAGCCACCTGGAAGCCCACCTGGGCTTCAGAGTTAGGGACCTGGCCAAGCTCTCCCCGAAACAGACTGCAAGGGACACAAACACTCTCACAGAGAAAGTAGCGCCCATGGATTCCTTGCTTCTGCCGCAATCTCCCGATGACTGCAGCAGTAATGGAGCTGTATTCAGCTGCCAGCTCTGTGTCCGTAAGTTCGCCACTAAGCATGCTATCAAGCTTCACCTCAGCAAGAGCCATGGAAAGTCTCCAGAGGACCATCTGCTATATGTTTGTGAAGTAGAGAAACACTAAATTACTTGTAGCACTAGGCATACTGGAATATGTATGTAGAATGACTGTTAAAAACAGGAAACTTCAGAGAATCTACAAAATCTTGGGTAATACATGAAGACAATATTAACTACTGTCTAAAGAAGTTTCACACAATGTGTTTACCTTAGTTTGGCCTACAAACATTTATAATTTCACTGTATTTCAAGACATTTATTTCATTTCAAAGTATATTGTAGCTCAAAGATATACAGCTTTCTCTGTCTGTGTTCACCTTCAAAAATGTGTAAGAATGCGATGAATCTGTTGAGTAGAAAAGAAAAGGCATTGACTTGAAACCTATAAAACCTGATGTATTTATTTTGTATGGAAGTGAGGATTTAATCTGCTGGTAGTCTGCATGTTTTATTGTTACATTTGTACAGTCCTGTCTTGTCAAGAGTTTAAAAATCCTGTTCAGATTAGTCATTTTAAACACCTTATAGCAGCCAAATTCCTGGGAAAGCTCCCTAAAAGAATCTGCCAAACTGTAGAAATTCATTTTTTTTATTGTTATCAATTATCTTTGCTGATTGTAAAATCTGCCTTATTCACCATCACTGAGTAAGGGGCACTTCAAATCCAGGTCTGTGTAAAAATGTACATATATTGTGTAAGCTTACAATTTGCTGTTTAAATTATGCATACTTGTTATATTTCCTAATTTAAGAGGACTATGACTATCCACTGGTGCAGAGTCTTTGAAGAAGATAAAAAAGGACAATGTTTTGCACAATAGTTTTATAAATGTTATTTGATATAAAAAGACACAATACAGATATGTTGACGCCTCGTGCTTCTATGATTAAACTGAATTAACTGCTGAAAAAAGCTGTTTTGTTTCATGCTTTTTAATGAGAGCAATTTCAGACACTGCTTTTATGGATTAACAAGTTCACAGAAGTGTAATTATTTGAGGTTGCAACAAACCCCGTTTATTTAAATATTTAGAATTTTAATACCTAGAAAATAATAAAAAATATTAAAATTTTTCAGCTAGCAGCCATAAACATATATATTTCATGGGAATTTGATAGATCAGCCCAAAGGTTTTAAAAAGAGAATCCATGGTTTTTGAGAAGTGTGGCTTGCATTTATATATATAACTGTTTTCACTTATTTTCTTGAGTCATTGCAATACCTTAAATAGCAAGGTTTGCATTTCTGATGTCAAATGTTATTAACTTACATGCAAAAAATCTGGCAGAAAATGAAATACTGCTCATCACTTTGAATGCATCAATGATGCATGGTGATGGCTGCATCATGCTGTTGGGCTCATTTATTTAGCAGGTTCAGGGAAACTGGCCACAGCATAATGGCTGGTTAATGGATTGAAACAAAGGGCAGCTGTGGGAGAAATTTTTTCATGTTTGATGCAAATTGAAGTTGGAAAGCCATTCACTTTGCATATCCAGTTACCATTAAGGCTGGTTTCATATTCATATTGACTTATCACATCCCAATATCATACATTTAGGTTTGTGGTTGTACCAGACAAAATGTAAGTAATGATAATATATTTCACAAGGCTTACCCGGTAGTTTTTTTCTATCATTGCAAAAGGTCATGACAGAGCATTCTGACTTGATGACCTTTTGTTCACTAAGGTTGCATCTGCAGATGTGCAGCAAAGAACTTAAAAAACACAATTTTAAACAGATCCAAAGTTCTTTCCAATGCTGGTGATATCTGTGTCATCGTTATAGAGGGGCAGACTCTAGAGGTGCAAGTGGTGCCACTGCCTGCAAGGCGTCTGGCAGGTGGTGTGCGCTGCATGTAAACCACCAGATGTTTCTGAAACGAGCCACTGGAGGAGGTAGAGGCAGGCGGGCTCCAACAGCAGGCAGAGTGGGCTGATTACCACGGGGGCTAGGAAGCCATCAGGAGCCCTGGGCACAGACAGCAGATCTGGCACACACCTGGACTCCAAGACTGTCCCTTGGAAAAAATAAAGTGGATCCTATATATGCGCGCTGAGACGAGCTGACAGCGGTGCAGGATGCAAAGACAGGTGCTATTCCCTTAATGCAGGTTTTGGATCTAGCCGTATTAGTGGCAGGTGTTGATGCCATCAGAGTAGTCACAATTCAGGCTTGGAGCCATCTAATGAGAAATTTAAAAATGTTTTTTTCTATATAAAAAAGGGTGAAAAAACATACAAACAAATCTGCATTTCTGGGACCATTCACCTCTGTCTCATTTGAAGACGCCTGGGGACATCATGTTCTTTCTGTTTGATCTTCCCAGGCTTCACTTGTCATGACTGACTGACTGAGTGACTTGAGGCTGGGGAAGTTATCTGGTTACTATGGTGACGGCCATTTGCCCAGCTTCTAACCCCGCTCACTCACTCAACAGAGGACAGCTCGAGTGCAGCACACCCATTTACTCTCTTAAATCTCATCATCTCGCTTCAGTTCCTCCCACCCGGGAACAGATTAATTAACACACACACACTGTGTCCTGACCCCGTCTTCTCACACAAACTCATTACCGCCTCAGACTTGCTCCCGGCCCTCCGACGTTTAGGATACATTGGTGAAACGTTGTGGGAGAACCCGGTGATGACTCACATCTGACAAGCAGAATAAAGCCTTTAACAAAGGATGCTAATTGAAAGATGGGATTCAAGCCGGTAGCCATTGATAATGCAAATGAAAAAGGCTGAGCAGCCTTATTGAATATCTTCCGAGTTTCCAGTGCTTACAGAGTTCTTTCAAATAGAAAATTATCTCCCAGACTTGATCAATTTTTTTTAACACTGTGTGTTGATAATGGTTTAGGTTTAGTGATGGACTTGGGGTGAGGATAGTTGGAGGCATTAATGAGATAGTTGACACTTTGGGGGTTAATGAGGGGCTGGAGGGAGAAGGCTAAATGATTGGACTCCTGCTTGAATGAGCATTATAGTGGCTGTTTGAGAGCAATGCAGAAGCTGCAAATCTGCTGTAGCCAATTATTTAACACAAAAAAACCCACAAACCTTCCCTCAACTATATTTTCCAGCCATAATAATGGGGATATTAGATCTGTTAGTGGTTGTTCTTTTGTCTTGACTATCTTTGAAGGGTGGATAGTTATAAACGCCGATTCGCCTCAATGCTCCCAAAACAAAGTAAGCAGTGAGAGGGGATGAAAGGAGGCGGACAGGACAGGGATAGGATAGGAGGACAATGAGTCCCCCACTCCTCCATTCCACACATCTCCCATCAGCTCTTGTCATCTCTCTAATGAATATCAGTTAAATTGCTCTGTGGATCTGAGGAGTTTGGATGTCAATGTGATTTGTGCGAGTGTGGCGGATGGAAGGGGCCCAGACTAATGAAAGGCAAGCCTAGCCTGACAGAGTGATGAGCATCAAGCCCATCAGACCAATCACACTGCAGTGGATGACAGCACCGAAAGACAGACAACCGAGGAGGAGCGACAGTCTACTTGGAAAAACAAAATGGCTGCCAAAATAGTGGTAGTTCTTTTTAGGACAGATTGACATATATCCCTTCTGTCTCAGACTGCTTGGGTACATTGTTACAAGCAAATTGTTGACAAAGGGTCACATTCACAGACGCCTTATTATTCCTGTCTTTACAGTTACCTGTAAAAGGGAATTTTGCTTTATTTTGTTTCAAAGATTAACCAACACAGTGTTGGGAAGAGTGACATGCTTTTCAGCCTTCCTAGAATTAATACTTTGCACAGCTCTGCAAGATTTTCACGTCTTGTGACAAAAATGTCTGGCTGTTTTTGTGCAAACAACTCAGTTTCAGTCTGGTCAGATTAGATCAATATTTTAAACATGATGTCACAGATTATAATTTAATCTGATTTTGATTGAATTGGCTAATCTAAAAAAAAAGTATGCTCCTGTACCTACAGGGTTTGTGACAAACTGCCACATATTTATTTTGATATTTTCAACAATGGTTTTCATCTCGGTACACTTCTATAAAGATCAGGTAGGTTAAATAAGCCAATATCCCCAAAAGAGATGCTTCCATTTGAGTTGTAGAATTTTGTACCTCTATAA